CGGAGTCTCATTTATTGGCTCTCATCAGGGCTGTGTCTCTTTGCAACAAATGCCCGGTGTCCAGGGAAGCGCGAATCACCTCTGGTCAGCAGAAGCAGGTGCCACCTTGGCAGCCAGGCTGGGGAGGGAGGTGTGTGCTAGGTAGCGGGTGCTCACCAGGTTAGGGCAAGGTGGGCCAGGCATGGGCACATTTTTGAAGGGCCCCAGGTGCACCTTTGTCTCTCTCTAAAAATCAATAAAAAGAAACATCCTCAGGTGAGGATTAAAAACACACACACAAAAACAAAATATAAGTACCCCAGGTGATTCTAGCATGAAGCCAGAAAGAAGAACCAGTGGTTAAGTCAATGTTAAAATGCCCCCCGCCAATGAGCAGCTCTCTGGGCCTCCCCTTCCCAGGGAGTCTGACTTTCACAGGAAGCCCCTGGGGGACACACTCCCACCCTTGTCTCTGTCCCAGGTGAACCACAGGCCTGAGAGGCTACGCTGGAACTGGGGGAGAACCCACCCCGACCCCGGTGTGCGGATACCCTTGCTGCGCCTTGTCTCTGCTCCCCGAACCTTGGTCATTTATTCTCAAGGGTCTTGAGTGTGGCCTGCCCAGAGGGCAGTTTAGGACAGTGATGGCGAACCTTTTGAGCTCGGTGTGCCAGCATTTTGAAAAACCCTAACTTAACTCTGGTGCCGTGTCACATATAGAAATTTTTTGATATTTGCAACCATAGTAAAACAAAGATTTATATTTTTGATATTTATTTTATATATTTAAATGCCATGTAAGAAAGAAAAATCAACCAAAAAAATGAATTCGCGTGTCACCTATGACATGCATGTCATAGGTTTGCCATAACTGCTCTAGATTCTCTATATGAGGCATACTGAGATTTACATTTCAGTATCCTGTTATTTAAAAATACTTTGATATTTAGTATTTTTTACCATTTAACTCAGCAAACTCAAAATATTAAGTTACACGTCCCTGGGACCTGGGATTCAACCTTGGAATGTGGTCCATTCTCACTCAAGAACAGCCCATTATCATGGAGACATTAACCTTGTTGCCCAAACAATGGAGTCCCACCCCAGCCCATGTTGCTGACTTCCCCTGCCTGTGATCCCTACTTTCCTGTGTCATCTTTGTCCTCAGCAAACCAAGTCCCAAAAAGGTAGAAATCAGTGACCAAAATGACATTACAGACACACAGACAAAAACTTCTCACTAGCTAAGAGTTTCTGGCGGCTGCCACCCTGGGAGGGAAAGCAGGAAGCTCCCCAAGATGAAGAATTCTCAGCAGCTGCTGAGATGAGCCT